TTTATATATATATATATATATATATATATATATATAATTTGATACGACCGCAAGCCAGCGGAGTTTTAAAATCAAGTTTTTCCTTACCCTAGATGATGGAGTGCCTTCCTGAGTTGTAGAGCTCCATCTACCCGACCCAGCTGGTTATGAGGCGCCAGGTGTCCGCCTTCACCCATTCTCCTGCTTGACTTAGTTGTCAGAGTCTATTTAGTTGTCAGTTGTCAGAGCCTATTTGAGATACATGCCACGGAAGTATTTTAAAGACAGTGGGACCTTGTCCCTAATGTCAATCCCGGATATGACAACCATTGGGACATGTATAATGCACGTGTATAAAAATTAAAGAATTTCTTTATTTATTGTTTATCTCTCACATATTTATTTTTAGCAGCAACAACAATAATAAATGTTTTCATAATTTTATTAGTTTTATTCTTTTCTTATTTATTGATTCACCTCTATTATTGCCATTAAGGTAACAATAAGTCAAATGGATATATTTTGATAACAAACCATTCACTCTGGCATCCACTGTAAAATATATATGGTCATTCCTTGTCATAGGAGAGGGCTCACTTGTCTGAATGATCTCAAGAGCAAATTCATCTGGAGTTCCAACTCCTGTAGGGCCACCCATGGAGGTATGGCTGAATAGTAAATACCAGATTGAATGCAACCAACCCCCGAACACCTCGATGGTGGAATAAGGAAAGGTCTATATGATCTCAACAGCTAAACTGGCAGAAGAGGATATCACCAGTTAGGCTGGCATAACCAAGATGGACCTTGACAGACCAAACATCTGACAGCCAGATGCAACCAGGTTTAACAGATTTCACTTGGCACAATCCCCTTTCAGCTGTGAGGAAGACACTTCTGACTAAGTGTGTCGGCTTCTTCATTCTGCAGAGTTGTCTACCAAAATCAGATTCAAACTCATCAAACTCTCTTTGATTCTCAGACATCTCCACCACCACCACCATTTAGGGAGAGAATGGAAATAGAGAGAGAGGATGACAATCTGGATGTGAGTGGGTGCCAACAACAATTGCTTATTTTCACAATTCACCTTGTGTCAGACTCAGTTAAGCTTGGCAAATATCAAGTAAATATCAATTATATATATATATATATATATATATATATATATATATATATATATATATATATATGTGTGTGTGTGATTATCATTGCCACCCCCCTTACACATTACTATCACATCACATCTACCATTACCATATAATCCTGCCATAATTATTAACGTAAACTACCCCTCTCCCAGCATATTTAATACCACCATAAAATAACCAATAAGGATTACAAACTGAAATTTCTACCAGTCACATATACACAGTCATAACACTAAAAAAAAAAAAAAAAAAAAAACAAGGAATTAACCAGCTTTAATATAACAACAATAATGTTTTTGTAAATTAAAAATTAAAAATTATAGCAATCTTCAACTATCATAATTTTACACAGAATACCTATTATCAGGATTTATACCAAAAAATTAATACATATAATAAAATGAAATATAACACCAACAACCACTTTTTAGTTCAAGCTACCACCACTATAACTACATTTATGATTTTATCATTCTCTCACCATCGTTACTAATCACTTCTACCAATTTACAATAACTATTAGCTAATTATATTATCATTGTCTCCAATCCCTTGCAACATTACTATGACATCATATCATATAGACCCGCTATAATTATTAAGATAAACTACCCTCTCACGCAGCATATTAAATATTAAACATCACCATATAAAATAACCAATAAGGATTACAAATTTCTACCTGTTACATATACACAGTCATCAAAAACAAACAAATAACCAGCTTTAAATATAACAAATAATAAAAAAAATATAAATAATGATAATTTTTACCTATCATAATTTTACACAAACCCCACCACACGTATATACATATATGCGAGGAAATTTATTCACTGAAAAATAAAAATATGACATGTATACATTCACGAGACATTCACGAGAAATTTTCGCTACACTCCCAATCTTTGAATTTCAACATACGAATGCGTATGTATGGACACAACACCACCCGTATACATACATATGTCATATCCGAAACTACCCACATATGTTTATATATGTATGAGTCCCGACGGACGACCAAGTATGTATATGTGTCTGCATACATCGATGTTTGTGTTGGTACGATGACAAAACGCCGACGTTTCTCCCACCACTTCCGCAATAACACCAATACACGCAATGTACATAAACCCAAATTTAAAAAAAAATTAATCAGTTTGTCTAACGATCGCTAAAGCGTGAAACCCAGGGTCACAAACTCACATCTATCCAACCATATATATATATATATATATATATATATATATATATATAATGAAAAGAAAGAACAGTAAGATATATAATCCGGTGTTCTTATAGATATTTTTATTTTTACAAAATAGTGCCCAATGTAAATTTACAGAGCATTAATATTATAAATTAACTGATTTAAAATATGTTTTTTTCGCTCAAGGAGACACTACAAAAATCAGCAGTATGCCCACAAGTTAGTTGAATTCCTTTGTATCTGAATAATTTCCATCCGAAAAGCGTTATTAACTTATTAATTTCCAGCTTCAATTTTTTTTAATTGGATTCACTCCATGTAAGTAAATATATATAAATATTGATTTTTGTATATTTTTCTTTAAGTTCTTACAAACCCTAAACCCTTGTGTAAATTAATTGAAACAGCCGCTTTAGTTTCCTTTTTTTCACTATACGGTCAGTTTTAGACCAAGTGGCGTGACAGGGTGTAAACGATATATATTTTTTCCTCAGATTAAGTCATTTGCAGTGTTGGGCAGTAATTAATCTATTTTCGGGGTGTATTTATTTGGCCTTGAAAAATATTGCGTCATGCGTGATTGCTTCAGTTTTTTTTTTATCACGCCCAGACACTATTGTCTCGACTGTCGATTAGTTGTCCTGCGTTCATTGTCTGGGATGGACGTTACTCCAAGGAAGCGTACGGAAACTGTAACGCTGCACGAACACACTGGCAAGTCTTATCAATGAGCAAATCAAAGTACCATATACTGGCACGGAATCTCTCCCGATTTAAATCCAATCGAGAATCTGTGGTCAATTTGGAAGGAACGACTTCGTAAAATGGAGATACCAAGTGCTAACATGTGCACTATGTTATATTTCATTGGAAAAATGCGAAAAATAAGTAAATAATAAAGGGATTATTCTTTCTGTTTCAATTTAGTTGTACAAGGGTGTATATATGGTTACGTTAGAGAGTTTGCTTGTGCCAGTGATCCCAAGAGTAAAGTCGTCTAGAGTTCCAACTCTTGTAGGGCCATCCATAGCGGTTAGGGTCGAAGAAGAAGACTGAATGCGATCAACTCCCGAAGGTCTCAACGGCGGAATAAGCAAAGATTTACGTGATCTCAAAGGTTAAACTGGCGGATGAAAGCAGCGCCAGTTGAGCTGGCGTAACCAAAAGTGGACCTTGACAAACCCAGCATCCGACAGCCACTGGATTTGTCAGATCACGCCTCTCTCAATCCCTTTTGAGCCGCGAGGGAGGGGCTTCTGACCAAGTATGTGGGCTTCACCGTTGCGCAGAGATGTTGACCAAAATCAAATTGATGCGAATGACATTGTCAAATTCTCTTTGATTCACAGCCATCCCCGCCACCTGGGGGGAGAAAGGAAATAGGGAGAAAGGATACCTAGCCCGATGCTCGGATGGAAGCAGATGCCGACAATAGACATTATATACATGACGTGCTTTAGAAGCTCCCTTTAGGTAATGAAAGACACTAGAAAGCAGGATACACTATTAAAGAGTAGCTATATAAACGAAGACAAATGTAAAAAGAAATCTTGTTACTTTTAGGAAAAGACAGCAGAAAGAAAAATGTAAATACAAATCGAGATTTAAGGCTAAAAATATCGGAGATTATGAAACCATTATTTAACATAGAACAAAATAATGTATACTGCCTTTCTAACACTAATAACTCCGAAACCATTAATCGGCAAAAACATTTCTCAAAGGATATAAAACATTAAAAAAAAATTCATCTATCTTCCATATAACAAGAAATTTTCGCTCAGCTTTCTCCAACGAATGAAGAGGAAACCTGGGATAAATTTTATAGAAGGATAATGAGAATACGATGATAGAAATACGATTTAAATCGATTTGAAACGACAGAGAAGTGGTTCTGCTGTCAAATGCTGAGGATACAATGGGTAAAACACATGAAGAATTTTAAAGAAAATAGAAACTATAAGGAAACATAAATTAACAGCTGATATTTCTGGGGCACAAAAGAAAGAGAAGAAGGCCTGGAGAAACTAACACTCGCAGGACTTATTAAAATCAAGAGAAGTAAAGGAAACCGTAATTACCATAATGAGTTTGCGGATGGTTGGCAGAAAAGGGCAATGAAGAATGGTAATGGATCAAAAGTTATTTAGAGCAACAAAAAACAGAAAGCTGTGGAGGGCCATTATCATCCTGTACAAACACGGCACTTATAAAAAGTTTGATATCCTATAGCCTGTAATAGGTTTGGTTTAGTAACAAAGAAATGGTGTCTATTGATTTCTGTTGAAGAACAAGGTTACGAGTACACAATGATGTGCAAGGTAGCCGACGATATAAGGAAGTAGCTTTGTGTCGTATGCCGCGTTATTAAAAATGGGCCTTACGGTTTGTACATTGTGCTTGTAAAGTCTGCATAACTATCAATTATTTGTATGCAGTAGACAGAGTAGCGCAGAGTTTAATTTCGAAAATAGTTTATTTTGATTCCAATCTTCGTTCATTCCAGTCGATTTCTCACGACTGTTTGGACGAGAAGTGATTTCGGGGAGAATTGTTTAAGTTGGGCTATTTATAATACTTGGAAGTTCGGGTCAAGGTGGCGAAAAAGGTTTCGGTTCCTTCTTGTATAAAATGGAAATTTTGGACAATTGAAACAGATGGTAGCGAATTAGAGAGGGTGACACATGGTGGCATTTACTTTTTTATCTATCTATCTATCTATCTATCTATCTATCTATCTATCTATCTATCTCACATAATTCATATCTATCTATCTCTATTACATAGTTTATATCTATCTATTACATAGTTCATATCTATCTATCTCACATAGTTCATATCTATCTATCTATCTATCTATCTATCTATCTATCTATCTATCTATCTATCTATTTGACTACTTATCCATATCTATCTATCTATCTATCTATCTATTTGACTACTAATCCATATCTATCTATTTGACTACTAATCCATATCTATCTATTTGACTACTTATCCATATCTATCTATCTATCTATCTATCTATCTATCTATCTATCTATCTATCTATCTATCTATTTGACTACTAATCCATATCTATCTATCTATTTGACTACTTATCCATATCTATCTATCTATCTATCTATCTATTTGACTATCTATTCCATATCTAATCTATCTATCTATCTATCTATCTATCTATCTATCTATCTATCTATCTATCTATCTATCTCTAATACAAGTTTATAAGTTGGAGAGCGAAAAGAAAGAAAGAGAGAAGAAAATTAAAAAATATCGCCGTATAAATTTTCAGACGTATGTGGAAATTGTCATTATTTATACATTTTCTCACCTTTCTACGTGTCTGGCTTTTATTAAACCACATTTGTCAAGAGCCTCATTTCCTGATGAAAACCAAAGTTCTTTGCAAAACACTCGCAGATCATAAGTTGAAGAAAGAAAGTAAAAACGAGAGAGAGAGAGAGAGAGAGAGAGAGAGAGAGAGAGAGAGAGAGGGAGAGAGTGAGAGAGGGAGAGAGAGGAATTTGAAATTAACTCTGAAAACATATTTGTATGAGAATAGATCAAAGGTTACACTCAGATAAATAATATTCACATCATATATATATATATATATATATATATATATATATATACAGAGAGAGAGAGAGAGAGAGAGAGAGAGAGAGAATTTGAAATTAACTCTGAAAACATATTTGTATGAGAATAGATCAAAGGTTACACTCAGATGAATAATATTCACATCATATATATATATATATATATATATATACAGAGAGAGAGAGAGAGAGAGAGAGAGAGAGAGAGAGAGAGAGGGTGTCCATAAGTTTATTTGTATTTGCGATAGAAATAATCTGTAAAAAATGTTATAAAGTTTAATGTACCTAGTTTTAAGTATAGCTAAAATAACTAATGTGATTTCAGGCATTACTGTAAATCAGTTGGCAAATGTTTTCCGTGAACTACAAAATCGTATTACCCTTTGTATTGTTAATGATGGAGGACATGTGGAAACTTAAATAAAATTTTAATAAAACTTTAAAAAATATAGATTTACTTCTTTCTAATTCATTTTACAAATTATTTCTATCTATCCTGTTTCCCTGATATCTATAATCTCCAACTATTCAAATGTAATGTCAATCGACGTTTTAATAACTGTCATTTCAATTTTCAAACATTTTCTTGAATTTCATTTGTTGTTAAATAAACATAAGCTTCGAGAAATTTCCATAACAAAACAGTCAAAATTTGTGCAAAAATAGGCTCAACTGACATAAAAAAAATCTTTCTCAAATTCATCCCTAATTTAAATGTTTCAAGAAATCCTATTGGCTAAAAAAAAAAAAAATAAATAAAAAAAAAAAAATAAATAAAATAAAAAATACAACATTCGCCCATGCATTTCTCAGAAAAATTCGCAACAAGCTGTCAAGCCGCTGGAGCCGATTTTGTTGTTAAAAAAAAAATCTATAAATAGAAATAGCAAACGAATTTTCGTTGCATTTTGAGACTCACACACGCAAAGATACCCACGGGAATTATGTGTCAAAATTGCCGCCAAAGAAACAAACTTTCTTTATGAGAAATTGGAAAAATTCATGCAACAAACTTTTTCACTTAATAACTTTCATAGAAAATCTTTTGTGTAATTTTAATTCAACGTTTCAATAAAAGGCAGACAACTTTTTAGACATTGAACATTCCCGAAGTTTTCTTCTAAAATATACCTTTGCACATATCATTACAAACAAATTGTAAATTGTGTATATAAAATTTAATCTGTTGTTTCAAACATGTATTTTTTGTAGTGATTGAATATCGTTGCCATTTGGCCATTTCTTATAATTTATGTTTGTGGATATTGCATATTTCATTTGCAGCACAATTTTAAATATTCACGCATCCTTCTTAGATCCACTACATAAACTTATTGGTGACCCCGACGACGTCTCCAGATGCCTTGATCTATCCACTATCCTTCTCTTCATCCTTTCCTCTACCACTTCTCTTTGCTCTCGCTCCAATTCTCTGTAACCCCTTGCGTGCTAGTGGCTTCCCGTCTTGCTTGGGGTGAAACGCTTATATATATATATATGTGTGTGTATTGCGAGAGAGGGAGAAAGAGAGAAAGAGAGAGTTAGAGAAAGAGAGATACCGAGAGATAATGTATTGATATCACGCTAACAACAAGTTTTCCAACTTTTCCCATCATCTTGTGATTAAATATTTACATGAATTTCTCCACTCGGCAAATTGCTAAAACTTAATTGTATTTTCTTCTTTTTCGTAAAAACAAATTAACAAGAAGACAAAGAAATCTCCGTGTTAAACAATTCGAACACGTCATAGTTATTTTGCAATTAGGAGGATTTTCGCATTTTCTCAGTCTCTTCATATCTATCTATCTATCTATCTATCTATCTATCTATCTATCACAGTCTGTTCATATCTATTGATCTATCTCAGTCTGTTCATATCTATCTATCCATCTATACAGGTAAGATGAGAACGAATAGAGTACAATTCCAACGTTCGTACCATTTTATTCAAAAGAACAATTTTCTTTATCTTCGGATATTATATTGAAAACATTTCAAAACTGCAGATCTGTACTGTCACTGATTGCCAATCTACGGGTCATGAACCATTTATGTAAAATAATCTCTTAATTTTGCTTCTCCCCTTAGTTTAAATTTAAACATAGGTCATATTTGATTGGTTGATCTGATTACAGCCCACAAACCTTATAACACCCACCCACTTTTTTCTTTTTTTTCGTAAAAATGGTCGATGTATTCGATGTAATATATATATATATATATATATATATATATATATATATAAAAGTGAAGTTTTATATTTATATTTACATACGCTCTATCTTTGATATTGAGCACTTTACCGCATAAATATAGCACACCTTAAAACTATATTTATTCGTATCTATCTATCTATCTATCTATCTATCTATCTATATATATATATATATATATATATATATATGAATTTCATTGAATACGACAGGCAATGTACTTTTATTTAGTTTTTTATACAGTTTCTCATGATATCTAATATTTTTTTTCTTTTCAAATGATAAATTATATAAAAACTGTCCGAATGTTCTTTTTATCCGAGAGCTTTCGTCTATATATCTAACTATTTTCAAGGATTAAATATTTTAACTGTTAAATAAGAAATAGTTTATTGTATGTATGTTTTATAAAATGTTCTCATTTTTCAAAACACGGTCAAGATATTATGTCCATGTTCAAAGTTATATTATTAAGTGTTGTTTTTTTTTTTTTATTAATAAGTCTTCCATTATTTTTAGCCTTTTTTGCATATAGATGATGCTATTATATTCGTGTTGTCAACAAGTATGTTACGAATAGTGTCTGGTAGGTCTCCATGAGTATTTAAATGAGATCTAATTGAGCTATGGTCAGAAAGGTGTAGAGTGAGACTGCATGTCAAACATGTTGTAGTGTGGCCTATATAAGAAAGAAGGATTGTTGCCTAAATACACAGACACACACGCACACACACACACACATATATATATGGAAGAGACATTGTAAATTACACACACATATATGGAAGAGACATTGTAAATACACACACACACGTGTGTGTGTGTGTGTGTGTATGTGTGTATTTACAATGTCTCTTCCATATATTGGATATGTAATAGTGTACGTGAGGTGCGAAATAAGTCTACCAGAAAAGAGTTTCTGTTCCTTCAACGCCGGTTAATATGGAACGTTCATTTGATCAGGATGAAGGACTGTTGTGGTATTGACGGTCTAAATCAACCCGTACATTTTTTTTACTTTATGAATGTGTAAGCAAACGCAAAGGCAACAGGAGAAACAAGAAGGAATACAAAACGATTTTGTAACAACAGTATTTAGATTTGTATAATGACATACACAAGCATAGGGGTTATTATTTTTGTTGGTGCTATATCTCTTTAATTGAATTAAAGATTTTACTAATGAAATATTTTTTATCCGAGCTCACAAAATTTGAATTAATTTGTCGCTCAAAATGTTCACAATTAAAGAGTTGAAAGAATTAAAAAGTTGAGAATATGTTAAGTAAAATTTTAGCTTTAGAAGGGTTGATGGATTAAATTTTCCGTAATGTTTGTAATGAAGTTTCCGTTGCTTGTCATTAAGGTTGTAATGTTCTTAATAAAATTTGGAAAGTTTCCTATGTTTGTAATGAAGTTTGAAAGTTTCCTATGTTTGTAATGTAGTTTGGGAAGTTTCCTATGTTTGTAATGATGTTTAGAAGTTTCCTATGTTTGTAATGTAGTTTGGGAAGTTTCTCATGTCTGTAAAGAAATTTGGAAGTTTCCTATGTTTGTAGTGAAGTTTGGGAAGGTTCCTATGTCTGTAATGAAGTTTGGAAGATTCCTATGTTTGCAATGTAGGTTGGGAAGTTTCCTATGTCTGTAATGAAGATTAGAAAGTTTCTCATGTCTGTAATGGAGTTTGGAAGTTTCCTATGTTCGTAATGTAGTTTGGAAGTTCCTATGCTTGTAAGGTTGTTTGGGAAGTTTCCTATGTTTGTAATGTAGTTTGGGAAGTTTCCTATGTCTGTAATGTAATTTGGAAAGTTTCCTATGTCTGTAATGAAGTTTGGAAGTTTCCTATGTTTGTAGTGTATTTTGGAAATTTTCCTATCCTTGTAATGTAGTTTAGGAAGTTTCCTATGTTTGTAATGTAGTTTAGGAAGTTTCTCATCTCTGTAATGAAGTTTGGAAGTTTCCTATGTTTGTAATGCAGTTTGGGAAGTTTCTCATGTCTGTAATGAAGTTTGGAAGTTCCCGATGTTTGCAATGTAGTTTGGGAAGTTTCCTATATTTGTAATGTAATTTGGAAACTTCCCTATATTTGTAATGACGTTTGGAAGTTTCCTATGTTTGTAATGTAGTTTGAGAAGTTTCTTATGTT